CCACAACGCCTGGCCATTTTTTGGTTGCAGCCATCATAGTTGTTTGGCGGGCCCTGGCTGGGGATTCGAACCCGCCACCTTAGGTGTATGTGGCTGGCGCCTTAGCCGCTTGAGCCACAGGCGCCGAGCCCCCCACTAATTTTTCCACCATTTTTCCATCTTCAGGCAGAGAGAAGAATAACAGATCGCCTTCCAAAAGAGACAAAGAAAACAAAATGTGCCCACAGATCCTCTGTATGTGTCAAAATCCTCTAGATACATCATGGAGAGGGGTGTTGGAATCAAGCTTCTCTAATTCATTTGTTGTTAGATCTTAGACTTTTATTTGGATGGATCCCTTTGCCTAGAACCACTGAAGTGCTTTGAGAAACTGTCACCTCCATGAAAGGGAACAGTTCTGGCACAGGCCAGCCACAGGAAGTGCTGGCTGTTTGCTTTAATTCCAGAGTACTTTGTATTCCCACCTTGTAGCCCTTAGCACAGACTGGCCCAAAACACAGGCTTGATCTTGTCCCTACTCTCTGCCCTCATCTCAGATCAGCCTTCAGAAAGTCCTAGCTTATTGGCAAAGGCACACATTCTGTTCTACTCTTAAGTTTCATTAGAAATTCAAGTCCACCAAGGTCCTATTCCCTAGGGGCTTGTGCAACTTTGACTTTGCTTCTTGTCTGCCCTTCTGGAACCAAGTCCAAGGAAATTCATGGGTTTGAAGGGAAAGTGATGGGAACCCAGCTGGGCACAGAATCCTAGGATAAGGCTGTGGCGCCCCAAAAGTGGCCTACTCTGCCAACATACATAAATACATACAGTCTGAGCTTGACACTGTGTAATTTGGCCCAGAACAATATGTATTTTGAACTCATTTAGGTGAATGACTTTGGCATTCAAAGTACCCACTGGGGGAGCCTTTATCAGGCTGTATTTGCCCTATGCCTTTGTAAGCCTTTGTTCTAAGATACGGCCTCAGAACACTCTGTTGAGCTGTCTCCTTTAGTGAGTGTCTTCTCCTCCATTTCAAAAGATCCAAGGATGCAATCTTGGATTTCAAGACTGCTGGTAAGAAATGCAGGCCTTGGGAAGGGAGGAGAAGTGACTATGTAGTTTTGCTTTTAGTTTTCCCAAGCCTCACTGTTTACTTTTTTTTTATGTAACCAAGCCATAATTGCATTTTGCTTGTCATGGTTCAATCTGATTGTATTGTTGAAGAACTATTTTTGAACCTGTCCAAATAAACTCTGCAAAGTATTTCCACAAGGATGTTACTCCATGGGGCTGGGACACAAATGGTTTCCTGTTTTATGCTTTCTAATTACATAAACGCAAAGGGGTGGAAAGGAGAAAGTGGAAATTCTAAGTACCTAAAGGAATGTTAAATTTAGAATAATAAGCTCATCTGGAAGCTATCACCACTTTTTTCTTTAAGTGTGCTACAAGCACCCCTTTCCCTTGGACCCCAAAGAACGATACCAGGGTTAAACACAGACCTGAGTGGGGGCAGGGGAGAAGTCCCACGTTCCGTGAGTGGCTTCTGTGTCAAACATGAGAGTCAGGAACAACTGTTACTGCAGTCAAACACCATGAAGGAAGAGGATGAAAAGGCAGGCACCAAGGAGAGGCATGGCTGTGAAGCTAGAATGGCATAAGATTCAGAGTCAGGGTCTAGATCCAAATTCTTTCTGACTCTACCACTTGCCATGTGACCGGGGCGTGGGGTGGAGGGGAGTCCTTAACCTCTTCAAACTTTAATTTCCTCATCTGTAAAGTGGGTAAAAAATAATTCCTACCCTGCAGGCTTTGAGGGTCAAATATATGTGCTAACACACGTGTTTAAAAAGAGGTTGTTGGGCGACACCTGCGGCTCAGTGAGTAGGGCGCCGGCCCCTCATACTGAGGGTGGTGGGTTCAAACCTGGCCCCGGCCAAACTGCAACAAAAAAATACCTGGGCGTTCTGGCAGGCACCTGTAGTCCCAGCTACTTGGGAGGCTGAGAATCGCCTAAACCCAAGAGCTGGAGGTTGTTGTGAGCTGTGATGTTACAGTACTCTACTGAGGGTGACAGAATGAGACTCTGTCTCTAAAAAAAATAATAAAAAAAATTAATTAAAAAGAGGCTGTTGCTATTTGAGTCAAAATAAAGTACATGGTACTAATGGTAGATAGGGGGCTTTTCCAGAACAGGAGGGCATAATCACTGGGCTCACGGAACTAGCTCTTAGGGTTAAAATCAGCAAGATCTGAAGGAGAAAATGAGTTCCTGGTAATAAAAACCTAAAAATTGTTGGAAAACACTATGCATCTTCCTAAGTATTCATGTCATTTATTTTCACTCCATTGAGTTACGGATGAGTAAGGCCACTGTGACTTCTCTGAAAACCCACTCTAGCTTTTCTAAAAATCAGAATGATTTCCTGAGTACATGGTTTGGAGCTGGTCTAGGAGGCAATGGGGGGGGGGGTACCTATGGCTCAGAGGAGTGGGGCGCTGGCCCCATATACTGGAGGTGGTGGGTTCAAACCCAGCCCCGGCCAAAAAATTGCAAAAAAAAAAAGAAATAAAATGGGAACCTGAGAACTCAAGGAGTTTCCAGCCTTTAAGGAAAGGGGGCTGTCCCGAGCATTTGCATTGGGGATAATTGGCCTCAATTGTTTGATTCAGAGCCAGAAGGTGTACTTAGGGGAAGGAGAGATCGCGAATTCTTGAAGAAGGTGGGAGCAGGTAAGGAGTCTTTTTTGTTTTGTTTTGTTTTTTTGAGGATCACTATGTGGTCCTTGGTAGAGTGCCACGGTGTCACAGCTCACAGCAACCTCAAACTGTTAGCTCAAGAGATCATGCTTCAGCCTCTGAGTAGCTAGGGCTGCAAGTGCCTGCCACGATGCCCAGCTCTTGTTTTTTGTTTGTTTGTTTGTTTGTTTGTTTGTTTTTGAGACAGAGCCTCAAAAGGTGTCCTCCTGGGTGGAGTGCCGTGGGATCGTTTGTTTGTTTGTTTGTTTGTTTGTTTTTGAGACAGAGCCTCAAAAGGTGTCCTCCTGGGTGGAGTGCCGTGGGATCACAGCTCACAGCAACCTCCAACTCCTGGGCTCAAGCGAGTCTCCTGCCTCAGCCTCCCGAGTAGTTGGG